TAATGCAAATGGAATTGACAGATAATGGTGTAAATGGAATTGACAGATAATGGTGTAAATGGAATTGACAGATAATGGTGTAAATGGAATTGACAGATAATGGTGCAAATGGAATTGACAGATAATGGTGTAAGTGGGATTGACAGATAATAATGCAAATGGAATTGACAGATAATGGTGTAAATGGAATTGACAGATAATGGTGTAAATGGAATTGACAGATAATGGTGTAAGGGATTGACAGATAATAATGCAAATGGAATTGACAGATAATTGTGTAAGGGATTGACAGATAATAATGCAAATGGAATTGACAGATAATGGTGTAAATGGAATTGACAGATAATGGTGTAAATGGAATTGACAGATAATGGTGTAAGTGGATTGACAGATAATAATGCAAATGGAATTGACAGATAATTGTGTAAGTGGGATTGACAGATAATAATGCAAATGGAATTGACAGATAATGGTGTAAATGGAATTGACAGATAATGGTGTAAATGGAATTGACAGATAATGGTGTAAGTGGGATTGACAGATAATAATGCAAATGGAATTGACAGATAATGGTGTAAGTGGGATTGACAGATAATAATGCAAATGGAATTGACAGATAATGGTGTAAATGGAATTGACAGATAATGGTGTAAATGGAATTGACAGATAATGGTGTAAATGGAATTGACAGATAATGGTGCAAATGGAATTGACAGATAATGGTGTAAGTGGAATTGACAGATAATGGTGTAAATGGAATTGACAGATAATGGTGCAAATGGAATTGACAGATAATGGTGTAAGTGGAATTGACAGATAATAATGCAAATGGAATTGATAGATAATGGTGTAAATGAATATATGGTGTGGTTTCATCACCTATGTTCTAAAGAAACACAAGATTCATGTACAGGCAAACGGTTTTTAATTTTCTATCATAAAATACAACGAGGAATCGCATAAAAATAGTTCACCTTTGGAGGCTTTGATAAATATTCGGTTAAAGTGACGAAATGCTTCGTAACATGATAGACAAACGGTTTGATGTCACCTTAAATCGGAAATTTTGCAACAACCATGAAACATTACTGTGTCAAAGTTAAAACCTTTCTGTGAGTTCGCCTACATGCTAACGGTAGTCAAGATATCAATGGTCGTGAATTAGACGCAACAAAATGCACAACAGCTTCAAATTCAGATCACAATCTTCGAACTACTGCGAATCGTACCGTGAGTGCTGTTGCCACTCCCGAGAGCTAACAAGAGAAATATTTACACGCACTCCTCTACGCGGTGATATGACACATGCACTTTCTAACGTGGCGTCCCTATGCGCATATACATGGGCCGCGGATTAAAAGTCTTTTTTTAGTACAATGAGGGAGGTGTTCGAAATTCCCGGGGCCAGATATCGAAAAAGAGAAACCCGACGGTGAGGTAAAAAATATTTGCAGCAGACAGAGTCCACACATTTATTTCCCCATTAGAAATGTTGAAGAGTTCAATTAATACACGCTAAAATTGAACGGAACATGTTCTGTTAAGTATTCGCGCGCGTATTGTGTCTACTGCAGATGCCCGCGCGTGAAGGATAAATAAAAGGACAACGTATAAATCTGTCAGTGTCCCAGTAGCCCGTATGGTATTGCATAGCAGCTCGATATATTGTAACAATTGCAGTCAAAGTTATGTAAAAAAACAAATCTGTATGTGTTTCGATCAAATTGAAAAAAGAAATACAATTTTTGTAATATATCTCACCAAATTTTGTAATACAAATATTTTGGATTTATACTCTGTCTTTCCTTTCTTTGTAATTGAGTTTTATATTTTGCAAGGATAAAATTGCGTACCTCAAAATTTCGCAAATTCAAAACCTCTTATTCTTTTCAGCAACAAAAACAGAAGGAAATTGTCGTTGCATCTATGGAAATGAAGCTTCAAATATCCAGATATACCAACGATGTTTCGCCTGGTTTCGATCGTAGAATTTGTCTGCCAATGGTTCCCTTCGTCTAGGATGAATATGTTCTCTCTCTATTTCGGTTTTGCCTAAGGTAGTTGAGGAAACAAAACTGAAGATCTAAAGCAAACTGAACAGGAATTATCAAACACTTTTGCAAAACACGTCTAAGTCCGTTCATAAAACCTCTTCATGAACTAGAATAAAGTATATATATTCAGTCACTAGATTCACCGTGATGTTTTCTTCGCAGTTTAATTAAATAGGTGTCCTCCTTTTGTTATTGACTTGCCTCCTAAACTTTCCTAGTTAGAATAATTATCTGTAATGACAGGCCGTTCTCAATAATCATATCCAAAGAAAACAACAATCTTCAAAGTAAGACGCCGTACGAAAATTCATTGCGTTTAATTTGACATAAAAACTGTTTTCTATTATTACGAGTGTGGGCGTAAAAGGTCAAAGGCTGACTTTGCACGATTGATGCTAGAGCTGTGAAATCTTGCGGGCATTAATTTCAACTCTTTCTGTTACGAACCGCATTGTTTCTATCTCGGTAAATTAATACCTGACATTTCAAAGAATACGGATAATCCTGTTACTCGAAAAAGTCATGATCACTGTGATAATGGTTGCCAGCCAAATGTTTTTTCATATTGGGGAACAAATCAGGAAAATAGGGAGGGTCGTCAACCAGTTCAAAGCTACAATCACACAGATGACATTGAAAGCAAAGACTTGTGTTCTGGAGTATTGTCCTTTTTACACAATGCCCCTTTCTTCATTTTTCCTGGATGTTTGGTCTTGATAGTATAGAAGTCACTGATCTGTAGCGGTCAGCGGATTACTCTAATTTTTTATTTTTTTTATAATACAAAAATTACCACAAAATATGAAACAAGAAGAAACACATTCAACAAGAGTATTTGCATAAGTAAATGGAATTTATATATGCATAACAACACTCGGACAAAACAGTAATTCGGTTGTGTTTGAATTTTACTCTCCTTGGAATTTTAAGTGAGGAAAATGTTCTTGTTGATAAACTGTGAAGTTTAATAAAAAGAGAAATAAACAATTTGAAAATAGTGCGAAAAAACCTGTGTGGATGTGAATGAAAATGTTAGGTTAAGAGTTTCTCTCTCTCTCTCTCTCTGTGTGTGTGTGTGTGTGTGTGTGTGTGTGTGTGTGTGTGTGTGTGTGTGTGTGTGTGTGTGTGTGTTATAGCGTGTTCATAGCGTTTCCACAAAGGGAAAAACACGATTTCTCCACAGACTTTACATCGCTTGTAGCTGACAGAAAACAAGTCATCGAGAGAAAATATCGCCATGTATTTATAAGTAGTGTGAACCACGTGGTAGGTTCGAGAACACGTTTACATTTTTTTTCGGTGAGTTGTACTTTGAACAAATCAACTCAAGGTCAAAAATTGGTCGGTATTTTCAAACGTAATTGACGACACCTAATTGATATTTTTCAGCCAATCAGAATGGATCAGTTGCTATAAACTTAGTTTGGAGCCTCTATGTGTTTAGCTGTGCAAGATTTTAGAACTTTGAACGTGAAGATAAACAAAGTACAATTTTCATATTTATTGTCCAATCAAGACGATGTTTAATGACAGCATATGTAAAACAAGAGTGATCCACTGAAATGTATAAGTTAGATTCTACAATAGCCTTTCGGAAATACATCAACCAGCTGGCATAATATTCTTACGTAGGATTTGATAGAAAAGATTCTGTCTATTATGAAGTGCTAAACCAAATCTAAAAAATTCAATGCGGAGAAATATTGCCAACATTCCTTAATAATCTGCTGAAAAGTGTCTATCGTGGATAAATCTTAAAGGTCACATAGAAAATGGAAAAGTTACTCAGAAAATATTATTTTCACCTCATCCTCCTTATGCTTCGGATATTTCTTCATTAGACATTTCTTTTCCGATCAGTTGCAACTTTTTTAGAGGGAAGTAAATAAGAAATTTGTTATGAGGACTAAAGTTGATAATGAGCCGTTCTTTGCATCAAAACCTGGATAATTTTACGCCCGAGAGTTAATAATTTACCAGGATGATGTGATCATCTTATCTATAAATAGAAGAAATATTGTCTTGATGAAATATAAAAATTACGATCAAAAAAGCACGTTTTTTCTTTCCAACTCCAAATGCAGCTTTATATTCTGTTTAAGCTATGAGATTGAAGCGTCAGAAACTAATGATTTCTTGTTCATTCAAATTGATGTAGCCTACAAAATCTCACCTGTTAGCTTACAGATTTTAAATGTAGTACGGTTGTTTCGCCTTACTTCTATATAACCTCGTTATCAAATGTACAAATATCAATAACAAAAACAGACTGATTCATCAGCAATTAGATTTCTAACAGAAAGTATATTTAACTGTAGAAGTCTTAAGCATTAGGGCAAACAATTACTAAAAGACAACGTGTTTGAGTATTAGATAGTTCCTTTCGCTGAGCATGGCTTTAATCTTAGCAGCGAAGAATAAAAATCTCTAACATAAACTTCATAGAATGTGCTTAAATCTTCCAGGATGTTACCTGTTGCAAGTAAAAATCGGCCTTATCGAGAAATAAATTGTTACTTAAATTGTGGTATAAATCTTTCCAATACTGGTATCTGTGTGACACGCTCTTCGAAGAAGGTTAGTTATGTTATCATAAGAATATCAAATCAAAATTTCTAGACAAAGGAAAGGCCACATCCTCTTAATTGCCATGAAATCTTGGGAGAAATGCGCAAGTCAATCGCTACCTTATTGCTAGTATCAGGCCAACTATTCAGACAATCTCTGTTCTTTTCAGCTCGAAACTTTACAGCCAAGACGAACCACTCTACAGCCACATGTTTAAATCACGCTAATTATTTCACTGGCATGAAAATAATTTCACCCAGAGAGGGTTTTTATGGGTAGACCCCTTCTCCAACATTATAAGGCTAAGAATCTATCCTTATCTATCCGCCATATGCTTGTAATCTTCAATTCCAACTACCTCCTCTTTGGGTTTTACAAGCATACCATCTTAAATCACCGGTTCTCATACGATCACAGAAGTTAAACAGCATTGAGCCTGGTTAGTACCTTGATGGGTGACTGGATGAGGATGTCAGATGTGTAATCTTCGATGTGCAGATGATGACAGCTCGAAATTGTTAATCGGAGGTAAAGTCGAGTTCCAATTTCTGTCAGGCACGTTATATTCACTTACTCATAAGTACTCTTGAGAAAGTTATGAATACACTTCATCTCCCCACATCTATGGGTTAATTAGTAAGACTTGTATAAGTAAATTATTATTATCTAAAAATATTATTTCTGGTTTTAAATACCTTGAAAAATGATGATACACCGTGCAAAACAAATCAATCAAAATTGTTTATTGAATGACAAAATTTTAAAATAAAAAGCCTAATTAACGCCTTTCGGGTCTAGAAAGGATTTCTTCAGATTAATAATAAAATTTAATAATAAATATTCAACAACGCTGCACCGATATGACAGCGGGGATCATGGGATCTTTCTCTCAGCTTCGTATCGATTCCTCATATGTGATCAGCGGAAGTAAATACGCTCTTGAACGATTGATAGCGAAATGATTGTAATAAACAAAGAAATATCAAATGATAATTGAAAACGTAGAGGAAATGAGAAAAAAATAATTCATATAACATAAAGAAAGTTGGGTCACTGTGTCGTGCCAAAAGTTGTTTTTTTTTTTTTTTCTCGTCAGACTCCATCTGAATCTATCATTCACCCCTGCATTGAATACTGCTGCCATACCTGATCTTGTGTTCCTGCTATTCATCTTGAGATTCTTGACAAACTCCAAAGAAGGATCTGTAATCTAATCGATCCTGATTTAACATCTCGACTCCAGTCGCTTTTTCATCGACGAGAAGTGGCTTCCCTCTGTCTTTTCTACAAATATTTTTAACTGTTTTGACGAGTTTTTTTCTTTGGTCCCCCAAACTGCATGAATTTAAGCATCTAGGTCCCACCTTTTTAATGTTGAAATAGCTAAATGCAACCGTGACATCTACTCCTAATTTCTTTTCTAGCACTTAGCGCCTGTGAAACTCCCCTACGTTCCCTTGCTTCCCTGTTAACTACAATCTTCACGAGTTTAAATGCTGCGTCAATCTCCACCTTCTATCTTCTTAAATTTAGTTTATTTTTGTCCTTTCCTGCAATCCTGTCTATACCCAACCATTTTTTCCTGTTAATTCTCTGTAGCCCTCTACATACTAGTGACATTTCCGCCTTCCTTTGGGTGAAATGATTAAAAAAATATCGATCCATGTCCGCCCTTGGCAAATATTGTTCTTAAATTTGAAATTCTTTGACGATAGCCAATTCTCTTCTCCTTGGGACGAATGAGTTTTGCAAAACATTTAATTGTAAAAAAAAGTAAAAAAAAAAATCTGACAGCTAAAAATATAGTGAAACGCAAAAGTCAAAATATTTTTAAAAAAATAATAAAAGAATTTTGAGTAAATAGATTGAACAAAAAGAAGGTTTTGAAAAATTAAAATACGAATAATTCAGCGAATTTCCACAACAAATAAACAAATCGTGAGGGGAAACGCTAATCTTGAAGCAAACAAATGCGAAATTAAAATATCAAGCAATTTTTGTTCGTCCGTATCCTTGATGAAAAATGTTTACGCTTGAGTGGGTAGAGACGCTTTTTTCTCTCCCTATCATTAACCACGAAATATGGCTTGCATGGATTGGACAATTAACGACTCCCAAACATGAATTATCGAGGAGTCAACCTGGCGATCACCCGCCAATGTGCCAACAAGAGCATGCTGGTCATGCCGACGAAAAAAAGAAATAAAAAGAAGTCTTTAAAAATAAACGTTCATAAAAAAGCATTTTCATATTGTTTGTTCAAGTTTGACTGCACTGTTTACGACTTGATATAATTATCTTGCTGCCTTCAAAATTGGCTATATTTCTAGAAACGTTCACAGAGAAAATGCGCTGTTTGCTTATTTTACAGGAAAAGATGAACAATGAAAACAATATTTATTCATACCAGAGAAAAATATAGACTTTAAAATAAACCATATATGGTTTACTTGATCCAATATTAGATGTATGCTTTTAACTAAGTGACTTGAAAGAGAAGTTATATATATTTTAAAAGACGTACATTCACACACACACACATACACACACACACACACATATATATATATATATATATATATATATATATATATATATATATTCTTAATTACACAGAGGCCCTTTTATAAATGCCCTTCAGTTTTAGTAAATGCGGCAATAAAACACCAGCAATGGTTGGATGACTCGGCTGTCTTTGGCTTGAAAATGCAAGCTGATGTAGTCACGCAGGTTCGGGTCCATATACCATTCGCCATATGTAAAAATAATACCTGCCTACCCACATTATCAATATCCTGCCATTGTTAAATGGAACACTTCTCAGATAACTCACTACTATACATGTTAAACGCTGAAGACAATCTAACAACAAATGTACACGATAGACAAATATAACATAGTCTACATGACTACACAGCGATATCTACAGTAAATTTCTTTAAATATAATTGCTCAAAAAGGAAGTATTTGCGGACATGTTTATATGGACATTTGTCCTTGTTATATATACAACACACACACACTATATATATATATATATATATATATATATATATATATATATATATATAGACACATACATATATATGTGTGTGTGTGTCTATATATATATATATATATATTCATATATACAGACACACATACACACATATATGTGTTTATATATATATATATATATATATATATATATATATATATATTGGTTCATTATTTCTGATACTCAGAGCCCAAAAAGTTGGAAAAAGAAACAGGGAGTTGAAAAGCTAATGAAAAGAACAAATAAGCATGACATTTGATACATATGCGAAACCAAACAAGCACACGCTTAGACACACATACACGCACACGCGCGCGCACACACACACACACACACACGCACACGAAGAGAAAAAAATGGACGAAAGTTAATAAAAGCCGCATAACTTATTTTTTAACTTAGTATAAAAATGACAGAAACGAGAAAATCAGCAGTCAATTGTTGAAATCTTTTGACGGGTGGCTCAAACGATTACAAAAAGGTTCCTCTGCGAAAGTCTGGAGTTGAGCTGCTTAATATAACATCAATCACTTAAGTGAATATTTAGAGAGCGGGGAGGGGGGAAGAAGCATATTACCAAGGCAAAAAAACCCTCTTAAACGACATATCAAAACTCAGTTCCAAATACAGACCCGAAAACCAATTCCTCCTACGCGACCGAATAATCAAACCATGACTAAAATAAATAAAGACATTTACATAGACGTAACTCAATAAATATAATTTCAAATTACCAAATTTAGAAAACAAATAAATAAATGAAAGATTTAAATAAATAAAAAAATAATTTTTCAAATAATAAAAACATTCCATAAAATTCCTGAATATAAACAAACTAAACATGCAATGTTGATTCCTATATCTACAATGTCTATATAAACAAAACCGGTAATATCTCTTAGAGATATTACCGTATCTTGCCCCATAAATACTGAACAATGTATAAACGCACACACACGTACTCACATACATATATGTATACATACATATATATGTGTGTGTGTATATATATATATATATACATACACACACACACACATATATATATATATATATATATATATTTAAAGAGACAGGGAGAGAGGGCTTTGAACTACTTAAGTATACTATTAACTTAGGAGAAATTTTTGTAAACAATATTTGATATACATACAAGTAATTATTTTTATTTTGGTATGATTGAAATGTTTATTTCTAAAATCGAGAACCACTTATTCCCCTTATTATCTCGGGATTATTGGTTGCTTAAGATACCCATTAGTAGATAGGTACGTACGTATATCAATAATGCCGAAAAAGTGTCCCTTTTACACAAATATTTATTTTTCATCATAACCGCTTAACCCTTTCAATGCACTTACTTCGATAGTAAATAATCGTATTGTTAAAATAGTATGCAATGATAATTTATATATATATATATATATATATATATATATATATATATATATATATATATATATATATATATATATAAGTGTGTGTGTGTCTATGTGTTTTTTTGTGTGTTTTTCGGTTGTAGAATAGGATTCGAAACAAAGTTGAAAACATCGTTTGGGAGCATCAATGAAATCAATAAATAATACTGTTTCTGTGTATGAAATATTTAATTATTTGTAAGATGTCTTTCTTAATCTTACGGTTTTCAATGTGCCTTCAAATACCTGTCGCACCATATATATATATATATATATATATATATATATATATATATATATATATATATATATATATATGTATGTATATATATATATATATATATATATATATATATATAGAAAAAAGAGTCTACGCACGCTTCATATAATTTACAAAATAGAAGGGATAAGTTGGTGAATAAAACCTCGAACGAAAGGGTAGAATGAAATCAGTACGAAAATCATTTATTAATATTAATCGGGTGATAAAAATAAATTGGATGACAACTAAAAAATAAATAGTGTTTCATATCATCTGAATAATTTTGGTGAAGAACTATTGCGCGAAATTCGATTCGACGGGGAACTGTGTAATAAAACAGAGAGTTTTCCTGAGTTGAAATATGGAGACTTAAATATAGGCGTGTGGAATGGTTTCAGAATTTTAAAAAAATGGCTTCCTAATAAAGAGAGATGACAAAATTTCTTTTTACTCAATAAATAATCTAGAATGCTAAAGAATACCCAATGCAAAATCAATCTATGAGAAACTCGCTTGTTTATCTAAGTACTATTTCTACAATAGGAAATACCCCTGTTGAAAAATTTTATATCAGGAGTACTAAGAATTCTTTTAAGAATAGATGGTATCAACATATCTTATCCTTCACAAAATTGAATAGTCCATATCTTATCCTTCACAAAATTGAAATAGTCCATCTCTCTGTAAATATTTTTTGAATTTAAAATCAGTTAATAAAACTCCTACGGTAAAATGGAAAGTATTAAAAAAG